CCCAATAGTTCTTGAAAGAAGATTTTGAAAGATTTTTTTCTAAATAGTATATGAAAAATATTGATCCCCTATTGTAGCCACACCCTTTCCCGCCAGGGACATCATGGGAATAAAACTGATTTTACACTTCACAATGAAGCTTTCACATCAATTTTAGCTTTTCTGACACAGTGGTTCCTGAGAAGAGTTTTAAAAGATGTCACTAAATTATCGCTTATTCTTAACTACTTCCATCAAAAGAGGGCATGGCCCTTCATTTGAACAAACTTGAATCCCCTTTATTCACGGATGCTTTATGACACGTTTGCTTGAAATTGACCAAGAAGTTCTTGAGAAGAAGCTGAAATTGTGAAAAGTTTACAGACAGACGGACTGTCAGACACAATGATCAGAAAAGCTCACTTGAACTGCCAGTTCAGGTGATTTGAAAATGTCAACTCCAACAGCAATTATATCGGCACATGATTGTTTATAAGAATAACGCAAAAAAAATATATATCCAAATAATCATTACTACTGAACCAAAAAAACTAATACAAGTATTCAATCCCCAAGTATGTATTACAAGAAAAAAGAATAGGCTGATTTATCAGATATCTCAAGAATTATCTTGACATATCATAGTGATGTACATCAATCCTGGACATAGTTTTCCTACCAAAAATGTATTCTCTCTAAAATATTGCGAGTAATGCTGTCTGTCTCTCCGTGCGTGTGTGTGTTTGTCAATCTCTCTTTCTTTTCTCAAGTAAATATTCGTCAAAACAATATTTGGACGACAATATATGCCGACCTTGACTGTACATATTGTCGCCGACGACAATATGTGCTTGTGCTTGACTGTACATCTTGTCGTCCATTATGCAGGAGGAAAATACGGCTCGTCTCGGTATATATTGTCGCCGGCGACAATATTTACCGATGGACGACAATATGTGCAGTGAAGGTAGGTATATATTGTCGCCGACGACAATATGTACAAAACAACAATATGTACCGTCACAAACCTTCAACTGTTTTTGAGATATTTGGTTATTTTCAGCTGGGGTGGGGTGTCATGTGTCATGCCACAAAGACCAAGATGATTATATATGTGGTTTAGAGTACAGTTTAAATATTTTAGAGATATAAGACCATTTCTAGTTTCAGCAGGTGGGAATGACCTTCAGAGGTCATGACTTATGCACCATTTTATGTGTCATGAAACAAGATTATATATTTGGTTTAGGGTACATACCTGTCTTCAGTCTTCCGTGCAGAGTTATCGTTCCTTACTCTCTGAGCCATACAGTGAATGTTTAACTTGTACCTAATTGTAGAGCATGGCTTTCTGTTGTCAGCTAGTCAGTCCAGAAATCCATTCAAAACATGATACATTCCTAATTAACACCACAAAAAAGCTTGCCAATATGAAATAATTCCATCACAAACATCAGGTCAAAATCAAAAAGCATCGGTGAAACTAGTACGGTAACAACTGCTATAATTCTGGAAGGGTGCTCAGAGCTTTGGGAGTTTGTAGAAACGTCATCTAGAAATTTGCCAGAGGGTAGTTGAGGAAAAAATGAATTTAGAATGTGTATTTGGGCGAAGTCATTTGGGGTCACCCAAGTTGGTTTAGAATGTAACATCCCCCACCCCTAAATTATATACCGATTTTTTTTCTTCTAAAACTGTATTGGCATCTATTTTATCAAAATTGTCACATACTAAAGTTTTATTTTCTGTTTTGAAACAACATGAACATATTCAACAACTACCAAATATAAACTTAAAAAAAAACAAATCCCAAAAAATCTTTCTTAAAAAGAACTCTTAAACAGATTGGTCAATTTAAAGAATTTATTATTGAAATACAGTGTGCTAACAAAAGAGGCCTATCGGCAACATACTCACCTGTGTATTTTTCCCTCAATTTAATGCATGAATATACGGGCAATTTTATGTAGGTAAAAAAAAATATTGAATAATTATTGTATATTCTTCATTACTCGGGTAGAGGTGAGCGTTTAGAGGCAAACACTTATGTGCGGGTATTACTGTCTTATGATAGCATCTAGTTTTTAATTTTTCTGGATTTCGAAAATTTTGGCATGAGCATCACTGAAGAAACATATTTTGTTGAAATTCGCATCTGGTGCATCAAAATTGGTACCGTATATGATTTACATTTAATAAAATTTCTTCCAATACGATAAGAATATCATGCACATTCAATATCTGTGCATCTAAGCCTCATCCTGGGACAGAGGATATTAATGTCGAAATTTTGTTTAAAAGCCCATTGATCATTATAATCATGCATAATGTTTTCCTGCATGAAGTGAAGACGAATTCATGTATCGGGCATTTTTATTTTCTTACCAAATTAGCCCTATCCCAGAGACTGAGCCCATAATCCAAGCGTGATGAATTTCCTAATTAAGATAACTCATTACTCTTATAGTCATGCACATATCTTTACCTCTTTGATAATCTTCATGAAAAAATGGCATTTTCTAAATCACAATGTATTTTAAAAATGACAATTTTCGCACAACATTTGACCTGAGCCCTAAGCCATTAGGTCATTGCTCAATTGCACAATATTCTGCTTTACAATGATGCAAACATAGAGCCTCATTGATGCCAAAGGGCAAGGAAAAAGATTTTTTCTGATATATAAGGCATTTTTGACATATGAACAACTAAACCCAATATTTGGGCAATAATACCGAGAGCAAGTGCTCGTTTGTATTATAAATTTCAAACGTTTTAATAGAGGATGAATTGTTATCACATTGATGTATACAGTTTTAATGAGTGATGTCGCTTTAAATTCAACGTGTTTGGCCAAGACCCTCATTCACTATAAATAATATTAACCAAGGTAATCTAAATTTAATCAATTTAAGCCGCTCAAGAATAAAAATGTAACTTAGTTACTTACAAAGAGTCATTGTTTCAGATAAACTGAAAACAAAACAAGTATTTCGATTTATGACATTCAACAATATAAATAATACCATCGAGGAGTCCTCGTTTACTATCACTTGACATTGCTTGAGATAAATTGCTCTAAGACATAGTAGTAGTAAGCCTCTAAATGATTCATATGAAGACGATGTGATTCAAACAGTCATATAAAATGTTAAATAGCAACCTGTAGCGAAACCGGTGGGATTTAGAATGAAACTCTTGTACTATCAGCTCCCCTCTGGAACAGAATGAAAAAAAATTAAGGAGAACCGGCTGGTCATCGTCATTTTTATACTATTAAACTTCTGGGAAAAGAAGAGCTCCGTATGAAATACAATGAATTGCATAAAACTTTTTATCTTGAATATGTGGCTTCTTTATTAAATGATAATTACATGTGATGGTCTGCAGAAATGATATTTCATATATTCAGGTTAATATATTTGGAATTTTGTTGACCAACCGGCTTTAGTAAAGTTTAAGAAAGCCCAGAGACGATCAATCCCTCCGAGTTTTAGGTTTCAGAGTTGAAAAAAATCATAAATTAAATACGAGGGGTGATCAATAGGTTCGCGAACTATCTCTATATTTACAAAACCACAATTCAGATCAAAATGAAATTTGGCACACATATATTCATAAACATGTTCTATAAATTGCAGATGTTATCGAATGTTTGCTCCATGTTTGTGACGTCACAATATAAAAATGACGTCAATATGTAGATGACTAGTGACAAGAAATGGTTGACTCAGTCGTACTCGAGCAACGAGCAGCTTTAAAGTTAAACGTATGTCTTGGGAATTTCTTTGCAGTAGCATAAAATAATTTGTACAAGGTTTATGAAGACAAAGGACTTGCCAGGAGTTCAATCATTAATTGGATTGATTGTTTTGGTGAAGGAAGGGAGATGGTTAAAAATGATTTTTGTTCTGGTGCCCAATGAAAGTAAGCTGGGGAAGAGATGTGTCCTTAGTTGAGCAATTTGTTATGAAAAAGTCGGGTTGTGATGGTCACCATACTCAATCTGGGAAAAGATATCCTTATCCATCCATCCTATTGCCGAGATTTGGGCATTTGTGAAAAATGGACTATTCTTGTTATTAAAAAAAACTTGCATGGCAAGAAATATAAGACTCGGAAAATTTTTTTAACCTTTATGAACAGAACGCTACGCAGTATGTCAAGTCACCGCCTGGATCACGTAATTTACATGGACAGAACTGTGGCAAATGTGCATTGAAATCGGAGAGGACTACTTTAAAAAATAATAAACAATGTAACCCAATTTTATTTCTTTCATTGAAGCAATTCAATTAGTTGGCGAACTTTCTGATCACCCCTCCTAGAATTTTTATAGAATATGTCGTAAATTGTTGCCCCAGAAAATTAATTTATTATGCCTTAGAAAGTAGAGATACCTATACGTCCAAAAGTTTTTGCTTTGTTTTGAACCATATCTGCAGACTAAAAATTATATTATTCATTTTGGCAACGTTTTCCAGAGTTAGTGGCTAGAAACAGCATTATTCACACTACTTTAATAATCTTCCATTCAAGCTGTTTTTAGAGCAAACTTTTATTGCTTTTTTTTAAAATGGGGATTAAATAATGAGTTTACAGATATGTGAAATAAGCTGCAGGAACCAAACACGTCGCATCTCATCCTTTGACGGAGTTCAGTGTCGAACTATTTGCATTTTAAATAAGCGTTCTAGAATGTTAAAGCACTTTCTGGCAGTGTTCCAACTTTGTTTTATGTTGTTGAGATAGCTGCGAGGATTCAATTATTTTAATATACAAAAGAAACTCAGATTGAATTATATTCTTCTTGCAATGTATCAGTTAAATGAAACATTTGAATTGTCGGTCTTTAGAATAAAGTACAAATTATTAAAGTTAAACTTTATTAAAGTTATTGAACATGCAAACAAAGGATTACAAAGTATTTTAGATTAATAAAATAAAATTGTCAATTTCGAAGTGCTTTGTCAGTTTAATACTTTTTTCCTTTCATTTTCACAAGTACATCTTTTGTATTGTCAATTTTTTAAATACTCCACTACTTGAATACTGGCGTCTAGATATTGCCCCACTAAGAGTCTTTTTCTGTCATCAATTGCCAAAGCAGTAGGAAAGTTTATATTGTTTAATATGTACCTTAAAAAATACCCATCGGAATCAATAACGTGTATTGCGTGATTCTGTTTGTCAGCTATAAGGATATTACCCATACAATCCGCAGCTAGGCCACGAGGTGAAAAAGATGTGAATACTGAATTATCGAACTTTCCATTGTACGTAAGTTTTAAATTTCCAGCTGCAAAGAATACAAAAACCATTTGTTGTCCTTCATCAGAGGTGCAGATATCTGTGTTTATGTTTGCACAAACGTATGTAGGTTTAATGAGATCATGTTCTGTACCATTGATACCAAAGACTTGCTTCTTTTCTCCATCTAATGAATAAATGCTCAAACGTCCTAGCCCTCTCATTTCGTCATGCTCAGATACTATTATATCATCAGAACTCATGCACGCTAAACCTTTTTGTTTCCAGGATTCATCAAAAACAATGGTCTCAGTACTTCCGTTTATAATCTTGTGTATACCCTTTTTGCTTTCCGATGTGTAAAATATTGAGTTATCGTTTGCTTGTGAAATATAATTTGGTTGATGTTGAGCGGGTATTAACATAATTTCTTTTCCACTGGAATCTAGAGTACGAATCGTGAAACTCCTCTTTATTCTGTAAGTACCGCAAACAAGGATATTTTGATTCATTGATAATGATAAGTCAAATATATATCCATAAACTGTGGAAATCTTTTGTACATGCCTTTCGTTTTCCAGCAGTTCAAAAGATTTGTCCACTTTCTGGTCACCTTCTCTGTCAGATGTTTCATCTTGAAGTTTAGAAAATGTGGTTTTTTTCGATGGAGTCAAAGTTCCTAAGAATTTTAAACAGTTGAAGTCATAATCAGATCGTTTGAAAAGGGGAAGTGTTCGTTCCATCAATTCCGGGCAGTGTTGAAAAGAATATGCATTAACCTGGTACGTAGCTAATTGTTTTGGATCAGCCATTTGCCTAGAAATATCTAATTTAGTTAAATCGATATTTTCAATGTTTTTTTCTATCTTGATCTTGTTTTCTCTAAGGGAATCAAGGTGTTCCATTTTCATTGCTTCAACTTGCATTTTTAGTTTTTTGACTGCCTCCTCAACTTTCTTCTGTAAAGCCATTCCTGTCTGTTCAACTTCCAGTTGAATAGATGAATATTTTGCAGGAACGTCAAAAATCCTATGCTCAACATCACTTCGAAGTTTCACATACGTACTTTTGAATTCTCTGTTAAGTCTCTGAAGCTCACTCCTCATCAGGGTTCTTTGAGAGGAAAGTTGATCGTTTAGATAGGAGAAGTTATGTCCCATATGTTCGATTTTTGAACAGACATTACAGGCTGGCTCGAAGCAATTTTTGCAGAATAAATTGCAGAATTCTCCAACATGTTTCTCGCAAGCTATTTTCATTGGTCTTTCAGCGTACTCACATTCACTATGACTGGGATTTTCTTTTTGGTGTTCATCAAGGCAATTTACACAGATACGTATGCCACAGCTGCAAGAGAAATCCACATTACTTTCCTCGCAACATTCACAAATAATAGCTATTTGACATTCAGTTTTCTTCTCCATATTTAGTTAGGGGCATAAACTGCACAAAACACTTCTCGTACTAGAATTTATACATTTTCCAAGGGTCCTTTAAATGTGGGAAAACATTTCTAATTGTATAGATTTAGTATCTGTCGATCTAAAGTAATACAGTCAATAGGACAGGTATTCATCTATTATTTGCAAAATAAAAGGTAGCTATGGCTTTAATCTTATGAATGGGTGTGCTCAGTGGAACGGTATTTGTTATAGGCAACATAGCGACCTGTTCTGCATAATGTACACATGTACACGTTGGCGTGTGCAAGCTTTCAGTGTTTTGTTAATCATAATGTGCATTTGTAAACATGGTAATTAACCGACTGAATCATCAGAAATCGTAATCAACTTGAAATCAGAAGGGAACCGAATCCAGGATTATTGGAATAGTACCTTTAGTTTGAAAACGACCGGGATCTTTACTAATACCTTTTTTCTGTTATCATAAACTATGATGAAAATTGACTAACTCGGCCATAAATCAGCGAGTTTTTTCGTGCTTTACAATTTCTTTTTTTTGTTGTTGTTGAATTTTCTTACTAACATTAAAACACCATTTACACTGTGGTCCTTTAATAGTACATGCATACTATACTTGTATTTATAACTTCATTTTTTAAGAAATACATATGCTTAAATTAAATTGAAAATCATGTAAGATTTTTGTAGGATCTTCTTAATTGTCTCTCATTTGTCATTGATAGCTTCGTTACAAATGAGCTGTTTCTCATCTCTCTGTCACCGAATTCTCGGGGAACGGATCTTTAAGCCTGTAGTACTCAAGGCGGGTACAATTGTCTCTTACAAGTTAAAAAATTAAAAATTTCCTGTTATAATTTTGTTTACATTATAATTTATTCACCTTACAAACGCGTAAGATATGAAAATCTGCACATGCAATTTTAAAATCGATTACAACAGAAAGCAGGCAGAAACTTGCTTTGTTGTCGGTAAGCAATCGGTGAACGGTCATACATCGAGTGGAGTGCAACAGAAAATTGAAATGAGATCTTCAAGTTAAAAAAAAAATTTGAAAATCAACTTGTTTGTGGATACATATTTAGTACACGTACAACTTGATAGACAGTTTACACTCTCTATTAAGCTTATGTATGCGCGGGATACAAACAGTAAAAATGAGTATACCACTCACATCAAGAAAAACTAGATTAAGGCCTTTTTTATTTATTTTTTTTCATAAGCTAAATCTTATAAAATAAGCTTTGATTTTTTTCTGTTTTTGTGCTCAATTCAAGCTTATTTCAATGTAATTTTGTTACCTGTAAATAAAATAGACAAAATACGTACTTCTTTACAGAGTTATACCCCTTGTTATACCCGGCATTAATCAATGACAGCAATTACCTCGCTTAGTAATTAGCTTGAAATATTTTCTTTTTCTCAATTCAGCCATATTTTTTATTGTTTATTTTTGAAATAAAAACACAGGGTTAAAATATTTCTTTTGAATCTTACGGGGAGAAAAAGAAAGTTTTATGGAAGTTAAATTAAAATCATGAACATAATCATCCTCTTGGTAGAGTATTAGTTCATAACATAATCGAAATCCTTCTTTATTTACAGACAATATATACAGACATTATCCTTAAACGTATGATTAAAAGTAGTTCGATCACTAAAGTTGATATTATATTCACTGGACAATAAACAGAAATTATTTCTTCGTAGAAATACATGAGTCAAAGTGATGGAATTATGGAAAATTGAATTATTTACATTTGTTCAAATGAATACATATTTTCTTGTCTTCATCCAGCATATGTCTACTGTCACATTGATCGATATTTATGTTAACATTTATATATATATATATATATATATATATATATATATATATATATATATATATATATATATATATATATATATATATATATATATATATATATATAGATCTCTCGACCTATGGAATCTTCTTGCTGTACAGGAAAAGCGTGCTAGACCCCTCGGCCATCTAGGCAAGTCAAAAACTTGCTTTCGATGCCGATGAAATCCTAGCGGATCCTCTTTACACTACAATATCATTGAGAATGGAAGTGAGATACATGTACAATTGTTATAAAATGTGCTTTATAAACAAGATTTAATTTCATTACAATGTGTAACGGTAAGATCCTCTAATAAAATTAATGTCCAAATTGAATGCATTTCAGTAAATATTTTAAAAAGAATGAGAAATCTTACTCAATTGAAATATTTCAAGATTTATAAAAGTGTAGTTCTATCCAAGTAAAAATTTATTTTAAACTGCAAGTGCTTTTTGAGGATCAATTTATCCGAGATTCCTCTGACTCTAACCCCTGCTTTAATATTGTGACATGTGCAGTGGAAAGTCAGAGCGGAGGCCATATTGAAAAGTGGGAATTCAGCGAAACCAGCTGGTGTCGCGACTCTGCCTAACTTTTACAACTTTATTTCGCGGATCTAACTTAAGAGACACGAGAATTCAGTTAAGGGATAATTTCTCTACAACTTAATAATCACTAATACGGTTGCATCGCAATTTAAACGGCCCTATCACCGACAAATCAAGCATCACTTGAATTAGGTCGCCTCCTCGCCATTCGACAACTTTGCGCATGACGTGTTTAAATACACACTTTGGATATTGTGTTTAGGTGGCAGGGGATAGTTTCGCACTAAAGACCCGGTCAAATTTCTTAAAAAACTGAGATATTTCCTGTTTGGTGTGATATTTTATGTAGAAAAATTATTAGAATAATTATGGGACACATTTGCAGTGTAGCAGAGTGCTTGCTGAAAAAAAATGATGTGCAACATGTAGGTGTCACTATGACACTTATCATATACAGAGTTGTAAATGCCAAACTAAGACACGTGGTCAGTTGCAGAGGAAATTCAGCTGAAAAGTAGTAGGCCTTAGAAGAAGGTGTGTATCTCAGAGGGAAAGTGAATGGCCCCATATCAATTGGTGAATTTTCATTAGGGCATGCATTGATTTACAGACTACTGGGTGTTTTATCCTGCTCGCTCGGGCCAGCTGGGGGTGGGTTGTATGGGTGCGACTGAGGCCCAAATCTTGGAAAAACAAGCCAAAATTTGGGGAGTCCCCAGGTGAATTTTTGGTACATGTGCACTCTAATAGGCAGATTACATGTAATTTGTTGACATAATTTGTGAGCCATGGGCATATGAAGTGTAATTAATTAGCCCATGGAAAACTGTCCCCATGTACATGTTTTTTTTTGGATCGCATGTATATGTGTACCCCCTTGGCACATGTTTGGCATTAAAAAAACTGTCCTCTGCCACCTTAAAATGTCCTCTTGAGTATATCACAAACAAGGTAAATTTTGTTTCGTATAATGACACACATCGCTGAAGAAGATAAATTGACGAAGTATCTCTGTTGACAGCAGGAACAAATTTGTCAGTGCCCGTTGTTTTCCATTTTCAGCACTATGACTGGTTTAAATCTTCCTATTTCGGATTATTTTGTGTTTTATCATGTTTCGTATCTGCGATCTGTTCAGCCTTTGACTAAATGCTTCTACACACAAATGATGTTCAAGCGCGTGTACAAGAAATGAATGCTTTTAGAGGACAATGCACGAGTGATGATTGTTACGGAGGCGTGGCCAGAATAAAAACAAAAGTGCAGGAAATTAGAAACCAGTTTCCTAATACTTTATTATTGGTGACCAGTATCAAGGGGCGCTGTGGTTTAATCACTATGGCGGAAACATTACTCTTACAACAATGACTGAACTCGGATTTGACGCCATGATTATATATATCTTCCGAAATTAATCATGATTATTTCTTTCATGCCTTTTTTTCCAAAATTTTGCTGTTTGGTGGTAATTTATAATATAAGTTATTCTTTTTTCACACCTTAAAATGGGTCGTAAGTAAGAAAAAATGCAATTCTGCAAGAAACATTAATCAATGTATATACTTTTCATATAATGACACAAACCTTTTGACGAACGTTATATAATAATGTTTCATTTTCCATTTGAATCACGTTTTATCGTTATGCAGACATTTAAGTTCTTTCTGTAAGTGAAACACTACACTAATACATTTTTATAGTGAAAATATAGATTTACTTTCAAATTGGTATTCCTTTACAATTACAGAAGAAAAAGTAAACATTTTAATGCAAGAGCTTTAATTCAATTTCAATTGATTACTTCAAAATATTTCTTCTCCAATTTACCCAGAACGCACACTTATTTTCGACCCCTTTTCCCGGGCTGATAAAATCTTTAAAACTTTAAAATCGTGACAGTGAATGATGTAAAAAAAAAATGAAAATCTTTAGAGATCACGTCAGCAATACAAGAAACAAAATACGTTTTAAGTAAATCTTACGAAGTGATCTGGGTGTATTTCATATTACCCTGCTGCTGAATATAAACTTTAAGGAAGGACAGATTAAAAATGCATAAGTATGATAATGATTTTAGAATATAAAACTAACAGACAGAAATTAAACGATATGGATTTACCTGGAAAGTGTATGGCTTAATACCGTAAATTTGAATGACAAACTAACAACTATACTGTTTTACAAACAGACTTAACTTTTCCATGGTGAACTTTCCCTATTTATGTTGTAATATTTCATTGGGATATATGTTACATTAAAGTTTTAGAATTCAGAGAATTTAAAACTAAAATAAATTAAATACTAACACATTGTGAACAGATTTAACATCATTATTATTGAAGTAAAGCGATTTAAAACACTAAAATCTGAAAAAGAAGAAAAAAAATACAAAAAAATCCATTTAAAAAGTTTTTAAATAAAGGTTTATAATAAATCAAATTATCAATGCATTTACTAATACATGTAGCAAGCTCTCGTTAACTTAGATTAATTATAGTTAATTTTCGTTAGGGTCTGTTGTTTATCTGAACACTGCGAAGGGCTCATGGCGGTAAAAGCGTTGAAAAGGGATGCCTACTCCTTTTAAGCACCTCATCCAATTCTG